GGTCGCATTTTAGGAGAAATTACTCACATGTATTTAAACAGCTGCCTTTAACATCAATAGACCTCATTATGCTCGCCTGGTGCATGTTTGCGTGTGAATGTGAGCGTAAATGAGACGTTATTAATGGAAAGATTTATGGATGTTTTGCGCAGGTGAACACGCCGCCTCTTTAATCTGCGTTAATGGAACACACCTTTAATCTGAGTTAATGTTTGTCCCATATCGATCTGATAGATGCAGCCTACGTGTGCTTTGTGACAGAGAGAGAGGGAGAGAGAGAGACAGAGAGTCAGTATATGCACAGACTTTTAAAAAGCAGCTATAGATTTTTTGATGCAAGATTTTTAAAAGTGCACTTTAAAGTTCAGTGCCTCTAAAAGTTACATCACAGAAGGTTATCGCATGAAAAATGGTTATGAATACACTGTCTGATGTCTGAGACGTTGTTTTATGACAGTTTCGAGAAGGTTTTGGCCTAAAACGTATATTTTTGAAATACGTTTATGGTGGAGGGGTACATGAGGGGTGTTGTGAGGCAAAATAGTCCTCAGAGAAAATGCTTTTTCTAAATTTTTACAGAATAACCGCAATTTTGCCATCATCAACAGACATGAAAATTCATGTAAGACACATGTAAGTTCACTGGTGATTTCACTGGTGATTTTGTATAGTGTACATATACACCGCGTTCCAAACTATTATGCAAATGATATTTCTCACTGATTTTCCTAAATGGTCGATGCAAATGACAGTCGGTATAATTCTAAAGTCATCAACCATTAGATTATACATCAGATTTTATTGAACAAACCTCCCAATCATATGACGCAGGATGTCAGAATAGCCTCCCAGAGCTGCTGTTTTGATGTGAACTGCCTCCCACCCTCATAGATCTTTTGCTTGAGGATACTCCAAAGGTTCTAAATAGGGTTGAGCTCAGGGGAGGATGGTGGCCACACCATGAGTTTCTCTCCTTTTATGCCCATAGCAGCCAAACACAGAGGTATTCTTTGCAGCATGAGATGGTGCATTGACATGCACGAAGATGATTTTGCTACAAAAGGCATGGTTCTTCTTTTTGTACCATGGAAGAAAGTGGTCAGTCAGAAACTCTATATACTTTGCCGAGGTCATTTTCACACCTTCAGGGACCCTAAAGGGGCCTACCAGCTCTCTCCCCATGATTACAGCCCAAAACATGACTCCGCCACCTCCTTGCTGACGTCGCAGCCTTGTTGGGACATGGTGGCCATCCACCGACCATCCACTACCCCATCCATCTGGACCATCCAGGGTTGCACGGCACTCATCAGTAAACAAGACTGTTTGAAAAATAGTCTTCATGTATGTCTGGGCCCTCTCTGCTTGTGAGCACTGGTTAGGGGTGGCCGAATAGTAGGTTTACGCACAACCGCAAGCCTCTGGAGGATCCTACACCTTGAGGTTCACGGGACTCCAGAGGCACCAGCAGCTTCAAACACCTGTTTGCTGCTTTGTAATGGCATTTTAGCAGCTGCTCTCTTAATCCGACGAATTTGTCTGGCAGAAACCTTCCTCATTATGCCTTTATCTGCACGAACCCGTCTGTGCTCTGAATCAGCCACAAATCTCTTCACAGTACGATGATCACGCTTAGGTTTTCGTGAAATATCTAATGTTTTCATACCTTGTCCAAGGCATCTGATGCGTTTCGGCAGCAGAGAGATCCTTTTTCTTTCCCATATTGCTTGAAACCTGTGGCCTGCTTAATAATGTGAAACGTCCTTCTTAAGTAGTTTTTCTTTAATTGGGCTCACCTGGCAAACTAATTATCACAGGTGTCTGAGATTGATTTCAGTGATCCAAAGAGCCCTGAGACACAATACCATCCATGGGTTTAATTGAAAAACAAAAAAATAAATCTTTATGACACTTAAATCCAATTTGCATAATAATTTGGAACACGGTGTATATGTGTATGTGTGTATATATATATATATATATACACACTATATACAATATATACATTGCACTATACTGAAATTTTGAAAGTTGGTGGAATTTCCGATCAAAATCTACCCTTTTTTCTTTATCTATTTAATCATTTATATGTTTATATGGACTGAGAATAGTCCACCAACCACAAATATCCACCCAGCAGCGTCCTGTGGGCAGCGTCTTGTGGGCAGCGTCCTGTGACCACTGATGAAGGACTAGAGGATGACCAACACAAACTGTGCAGCAGCAGATGAGCTGTCGTCTCTGACTTTACATCTACAACTTAGTGGACCACTAAGGTAGGGGTGTCTAATAGAGTGGACAGTGAGTGGACACAGTGTTTAAAAACTCCAGCAGCACTGCTGTGTCTGATCCACTCGTACCAGCGCAACACACACTAACACACCACCACCACGTCAGTGTTACTGCAGTGCTGAGAATGATCCACCACCCAAATAGTACCTGCTGTGTGGTGGTCCTGTGGGGGACCCGGCCATTGAAGAACAGACTGGTTCCTATCACCACCACTGTAAACAATTCTTAAGGTTCTCTAGAACACAGTATTTTTGACCAAACCCCTCTGAATGACTTTGTTTACATTTTAAGAATTTATTTAAGCAGACGTTTTAAAAATCTGTTTCCTTCAATGCTGCTCCACATCACTGCTAACAACAGGCCTTTGGCGCCCTCCTTTGTCAACAGCAGGAACTACTTATATTTATTGAGTTTAACTTTTCAAGGGCACTATGCAGTGATGTTATAGTATTAGAGTGATTCATGATATTCTACTAAATGTTTGTGGTCAGACATGTAGCTGGACTGCTGTTTGGACATTAGCAGCCTGAAGGAGTTTTCTAATAGCAATGCAGGAAGGAAAGAGGTGCCATATGTTTCTTTTGGCTGGACAGAACGGTCCCGGAGGCTGTTTGAAGGGTGCACAGTCCACTGCTCTTACATTAACACTGTTAAACACGGTTCTACACTAATGTCCATCCACAGTAGAGTTATTTTAGAACTGGTCATTTGATTGTAAGGACCACTTGTGAAGTGGTGTTATGTGAACTACATTATAGAAGTGGGATGTCAAACATCTCAGGCCTCAGACTGACCCAAATTATTAAGTGAAATATAACCATAATAAGAAAAAATACTAAACAAGCCAAAAGAACATTCTTGTTATTATAAGAAATGTAAAAAGATATTTTTGTGATAAATAATAATAGTAATAAAATATGTGTATTATTATTATTATTATTAGTAGTAGTAGTAGTAGTAGTAGTGGTAGTATTATATAAATGATATCACAAGTGATATGAATATAATAAATGATAAACATAAGAATAAAATAAGCCAAAATTATACCATTATATCATAATAAATGAAAAAAAAACAATTTTGCAAATCAGTAATAAAATATTTGTATTATTATTATTATTATTATTATTATATAAATGATATCACGTCATAAATTTGATAAATCATAAACAAATAAGAATAAAAATAAGCCAAAATGCTGTAATCGTTATTATAATAAATGTTAAAAATTAATTTCTGATCAAATATAATAAACCATTATTATTATTAATATAATAATAATAATAATAATAATAATAATATCACAAGTGATATGAATATGATAAATGATAAACTATGAGAATAAAAATAAGTCAAAATGATATAATAAATGTAAAAAAATAATCTTATGATCAATAACAATACAATTTTTGTATTTTTATTATATAAACTATATCACAAGTGATATGAATATGATAAATGATAAACAAATATTAATATAAGTATTTGTATTTTTGTAATAGAATTGTTGAATTGTTAGCTTATAGCCTATTTCATAAACTAACCATAGTAGTAAAATAATAATAATAATGCTTAAATTCAGTCAAATCTTTATGTTTTGTTGATTTTCTAAGTGAAAAAAAGTCAACACATCCTCTTCAGAGAAAAACATAAATATGGTATTTTTCTGCAAATATTAGCGCTCAGTTAAAATTTTTTGTTTAACATATTGGAAAAAAATTAAACATAAAATATATAATTATATACTTTTATACAGGCCACATTTGATGCTTTATTTCGCTCAATGTGTTCAATTCAGCAAACAAACAGTAATAGTGCATTAAAAGGTGTTTTCTCTGTAGAGAATATGTCAACAAAACATGACAAACGCCACAGTCTGTGAAACCACAGAAGCTTCGTCTTGCTGAAAGTTCACTGAGGCCTTCAGACGGCCGTCTTCACTCCTTTTACTTAGTTTAGTTTACTTTTTGTTCGAGAGCCGTTCATTAGACCCGGGCTTCAGAGACCAGCCGCTGTGCATAGAGATTCTCCTCTTTATTGATTTCACATTTACACCAGCATCAGTAGAAAATAGAGGTCATTTAAAACCGGCTCGCGCTCCATAGCATAAAATAGGAATCGGCTATGTGGATATCGTTGAACAGGATGAGAACAGACTGCGACGATAAAAATGATCCGTTTGACATTGTCATCCGCTAAAAAACAGTAAGCTTAAAGTTCACAACAGTAATGCTCAGTCTGACCGTTACAGAAAATTATTGAGTCAATGGTTAGTGCAAAATCGGCTTGCTTATATTTCATATTTACATTTCGATTCAAGTTAAAGGTACAATAAGTGGAAATTTCCATTCAAACTTGATGCGATGCAAGACTGAATAATACTTAAAGGGCCCATATCTTATGTTTTTCTTTCTTTTTTTACCCCCTAAAGTCCATTTAAAACTTTGCTACTTCTTAGAATTAAACTGGCTGTTTTTCTTACCATGCCTTTAAGATCGATATATGTAAATGAGCTCTGTTCTGACTGGCTGTCCTGTGTTGTGCCTCATTCAAAAAGCAGCTCTAGCTGAAACACTCCTTATAATGTCAGTTTGAATGGGCGGGGCTAAACTGCTGTAGGCTGAATAGGTGGATGTATGTAAATGTGCTGTTTTTTTGTGACATCACACTTCAAAACAGGCTGTATTTACAGTTTGCAAGTCTCCATATCACAAATAATAAATATAACAAATGACAAATACAGGAATATTAATAAGAAATATTGTTTTCTTGTAATAGAATTAATAATGGAGCTTATTTAACAAATGTCATTGACAATTTGAATGGGCGGGGCTAAACTGCTGTAGGCTGAATAGGTGTACATATGTAAATGTGCTTTTTTTGTGACATCACACTTCAAAACAGGCTCTATTTACAGTTTAGTCGCCATATTACAGGTAATAAATATGATAAATGATAAACAAATAAAAGAATATTAAGAAATATTGCATTCGTGTAATAGAATTACTAATGGAGCTTATTTCATAAACGTCAATGTCAATTTGAATGGGCGGGGCTAAACTGCTGTAGGCTGAATAGGTGGATATATGTAAATGTGCTGGTTTTTTTTGTGACATCACACTTCAAAACAGGCTGTATTTACAGTTTAGTCGCCATATTACAGGTAATAAATATGATAAATGATAAACAAATATAAGAGTAGTACTAAGAAATATTGTATTCTTGAAATAGAATTAATAATGGAGCTTATTTCATGAACATCATTGTCAAATTGAATGCTAAACTGCTGTAGGCTGAACAGGTGGATGTATGTAAATGTGCTGTTTTTTTTGTGACATCACAAACCCAACAACTTCAAAACAGGCTGTATTCGCAGCTTAGTCTCCATATATGAACTGGGGAGTGATGTTTTGACACCTTAATAAGGTTGATAAATGTTTACACCACATTAAAAGTCATTTCCCGTGATATGGGCCCTTTAACTGGTGGTAGGAATGAAACGCACAGTGGAGGCTCACAGCCTGTACATTTGGAAAAACAGAAAACACGGACACTGGGCTAACACTGGAGGTTACATCATATTCTGAGATCACAGCAAGCCAAGCAATAAGTCAATAATGTGTGGTGTATGAAGTGCCTTATGGAAATATGACTCATTGTACCTTTAAAACGCAGGTATAGCTGTGTCAAGGATTGTCTGCAGATTGAGAGGCAGGACAGAAGGAGCAGAGACGAGGGAAAGAGACGGGGAGGAAAGGAGACCTAATAGCAGGAGACACTTGAAATCGAACGCATGATCGTGAGCGGCACGAAGCATTTCGCTCGGTAAATTAAGGGATATGAGCGAGAGCAGTGGAGCGGAGTGCGTGAGAGAGAGAGAGAGAGAGAGAGAGAGAGAGTTGGTAAAGCGTCAGAGAGAAAGAGAACGCATTTCTGTCCATCCCGTGAGTCATTTAAGATCAGTCCACCCAGATCTTCTCCCTATTTTCATCCTCCATCTGTTTTCCTCTGCTCTCCTCTTCCCCTCTGTTCTTTCTCTGCTTGAAAGAGTACCTCCTGCTCATCAGTGCCGTCGGGTCACGATGCTTTGCCATTGCTTGGATCTTGACCTAAAATGAGAGAGAGGGAGGGAGGGAGAGAGGTGAAAGACTGAGCCTTATGTTACCTTATTTACTAATCTGGCTTTGTTAAAGGTCAGCTCAGGGCCATCTGCTAGACACTGGACACAAACATAGATTTACACTCACTAAGCACTTTATTAGCTACACCTTACTTGTATCTACACTCATTGTCCATTTATCAGCTCCACTTACTATATAGGTGCACTTTGTAGTTCTACAGTTACAGACTGTAGTCCATCTGTTTCTCTGCATACTTTGTTAGCCCCCTTTTACCCTGTTCTTCAGTGGTCACAACCTCTGCAGTGAACAATTTAAAACAATAGCATTTTTCTGCCCAATTACTTTATATCTGATTATCTTAAATATTTTATGTGCACCGTTGCGGGTGTTGCTTTCATGGTGGCGACAATCGAATGGCAAAAAAACTAAATATCACCTCGTATCTCCAAAATGGTACTTTACAGGAGAAGGAAAAAATCTACTTTACTTTAATGTAAGTTAATGAACCATAATTTTTTTTCCAGTCATTTTGGGCTGTTTCTTTTAGTCCATTTATCATGAAATTTAGATACAATGTAAAGGGCAGCAGACATTTTCAAATTATGTCAAAAACTAAAACACATCAAAAATGGAGATACAAGGTTTTGTTCTGACAGCAGTGATATGCATAAACTACTGTCCAAAAGTCAGTCGATATTGTTTTATATTCAATAACTGCTTATAAATTTCGATTTGAACACAAATCCAATTCCTAAAAAGTTGGGATGGTAGGTAAAATGCAAATAAAAATAGAAAGCATTGATTTGTACATCCATTTAGAGCTGTATTTCAACAAAAACAGTACAAAAAACAAGATATTTAATGGTTTGTCTTACCAACTTCATTGTTTGTGTGCATTTAAATTGAACTGAACTTGATGCCTGCAACATATTCCAAAAAAGTTGGCACAGGGGCAACTTAAGGCTAGGAATGTTTTTAAATGGTCGGAAAACATTTTTAAAAAGGTGATGCAATCATGCTTGGATATAAAAGGAGCATTCAGGAAAGGCCAAGTCTTTTATGAGCAATGATGGGTTGAGGCTCGTAATTTTGTCAAAAATGGATCAGCAAAAAGTCTTGCTGTTTAAGAACAATGGTTTTAGGTATTTCACTCCATACAGTGCATACAGTCATCAAAAGATTCAGGGAATCAGGACAAATCTCTGTGTGTAAAAAGCAAGGCCAAAAACTACAAGTGGATGCCCATGACCTTTGAAACCAGCATGCTTCTGTGATGGACATCACCGCACTTTAACAAACTGCTGTAAATAAACATCACCTGTTACTGCATCCACAGATGCTTTAGTTAGTTAAGAGCTGTATATCAGCAACACTCAGAAACACTGCCGACTTCTCTGGGCTCAAGCTCACGAAACATGTATTGTGGTCTGATGAGTCAACCTAAACAATATTGTCTAAGGAAATAATGTGTTCTCCAGGCCAAAGAGGAAAAAGATCCTGATAGAAGGGTACGTGTAAACTTACTGGCCACTTTATTAGAAACACATATCATGTAGTCCCACCTTGCTGGTGTACAAGTAAAGCCTGTAGCCCAACTGTTGATGGACAGTTTGTCTTAGCCATTAAGTCTGGGCGATATCTAGAAATAATTGCCATTGATATTTTATTGTTAAAGAATTGGGATTATCAACTGTAAAGTGACAAGTAAGTGGAAGTACAAAGTAGGTGTTTCTAAAAAGTGACCAGTGAGTGGAAGTATGAGGTAGATGTTTCTAATAAAATGACCAGTGAGTGGAAATACAAGGTAGGTGTTTCTAATAAAGTGACCAGTGAGTGGAAGTATGAGGTAGATGTTTCTAATAAAATGACCAGTGAGTGGAAATACAAGGTAGGTGTTTCTAATAAAGTGACCAGAGAGTGGAAGTACAAAGTAGGTTTTTCTAATATAATGACCAGTGAGTGGAAGTACAAAGTAGGTGTTTCTGATAAAGTGACCAGTGAGTGGAAGTACAAGGAGGGTGTTTCTGATAAAGAGGCCAGTGAGTGGAAGTAAAAGGTAGATGTTTCTGATAAAGTGGCCAGTGAGTGGAAGTACAAGAAAGGTGTTTCTAATAAAGTGACCAGTGAGTGGAAGTTCAAGGAAGGTGTTTCTAATAAAGTGGCCAATGAGTGGAAGTACAAAGTAGGTGTTTCTGATAAAGTGGCCAGTGAGTGGAAGTACAAGGTGGGTGTTTCTAATAAAGTGGATGGTGAGTGTATCTGTCCACACTCTCTCACACACAGCCAAATTACCAGGAAAATCCAACGATTTGTTTTTTTTTGGAGGAAGTCTGGGTTTTTTCACAGGGGGCTTGGGATCTGAAGACCTTTCCAGATCACTGGGGCTGCCTTGCTCCATGCCTGAGCAAAACAACACACACAAACACACACACACACACACACACACACACACACACACACATATTGCTTAGATTTTGTAAAGTATTCTCTCACATACTTGAGTTAGAAGTGTGGACTTACCGCCCTCACAGGAGTGTGCCTTTCGGTTTTTTTGAGGCTTTGCGGGACCTCCGTTTAAGTTGGGCTCTTCCTCATCACCTAACCAGAAAATACCACCATCATGACCATCAATGTGATCCATCCTGCCACTGTTTTCATACTAATGTCATTACATGTTATTGAGCTCATTATGATCATCATGCAGACTACAAACTAGCTATTAACAACATTCTTATGTGTAACACCAGTGAGGATTGGTAACACCAGTGACACCTATGGAGAGATAAAAAAGTGGACATTTCTGTAGAATGACCCTTATAAAGCACTAAAACTTGTAATCACGTAAACTGACATTTAACTGAACTTGAAATCAGGTAAATTGATGCTTAACTGAACCACTTTTATTTGTTTCTATGCCAAATGCTAATAAACAGCTGACAGACTCATATTTACAAATAGGAAACACAGTGTTCTAAATTAACTTTACCTGGCGTGATGCATTAGACATATTACATGTGGTTTTTAATATAATAAAAAAGGCAGGATATGTATTTACCAGAAAATAATACTGATTATGTTGTAACAATGGTACGTGTTACCTCATAACAATGGCGCATGGCACATTTAGCAGCGTTACCAGTCCTAAACTGCCACTGTCCTAACTTTTTTGAAACATGCTGCAGGCATTAAACTAAGAATGAGTGTATTTTTGCAATAAAACAAAGAAGTTAATAAGATAAAGCATTGAATATCTTTTTTTTGTATTGCTATCATATAAATACAGATCAAAGTGGGTTTACAAATGACTGTTTCTGTTTTTATTTGCATGTCCCTTTTTTGGAATTGGGTTTGTAAGGTGACAACTGTGACTGTTACCTTGAGTGACAGGCGAATCTACCACACTAAGCGTAGGTTTGGCAGAGGCGGGCGGTACAGGAGGTGGGGTTTTATTCTCATTGGATGTGTCTTGTGGTGGCGAGGCAGCAGGAGATGTTTCAGGTGAATTATTTGGCTGGAAAACGAGGATTATGGTTAATTTAAGTTTTCATAAATTCCAGATTTAAAGCTCAAAGGCTTTACACAAAGGCCTACAAGTGGACAAACACAAGTACACAGTCTATGCATGTCTGTGCATATAAACACACATACCAGTGTGCATGCTAAATACCTTCTCAGGGATGGGAGGAGTTTGCCCCTCTGCTTTTTGCTGTTGATCTTCCTGACATCTCATTTCCTCCTTTATATCATCTTCCTCTTTCTCTCCTTCAGTATCCTCTGTAGATTTGTCTTTAAAGCAAAAGAATAAAAGAAAAAGCTTGTAAGTGCTTTATTTTTAACAGTATTTCAAGTCCTGGGACAGTAAGATCCAGAGACGCTGTAATAAATTCATGTTAAAGAAGAATTCTACCCATTACTAATCAAAACTTGTGCATAATTCACTCGTTAGGATGTAAACAAAGTCATTCAGAGTGTTTTGATGTGAATGTGTGCATTGCAGAGAAACTTATCAAGTCAGAACTGCTCACAATTGTGGTGACCAGAACCAGACGTCCAAAGGTAATATTGCTTATTGCCTCTGAAAGCACCTTCACATAAAGGTATTACACAGAACGGCTGCATTAAACATTGTTTTATGCCAGTTTCGACACAAGATTTTGTCTAAAATGTACAATATTTTATCGCACAGAGGTGCATGCAGGGTGTTAATGAAAACAGTCCCTAGAGAAAACTTATTTTTATGCATTTACCAACATTTTAGAATTAACAGCACTGGATGGACAATGCAGAGTGTAAAAATGAATATAATTCAAGTATAAAATGTAACATTTTGAGTCTTACTGAGATTTTGAGATTACTGGCAGTAAAGTCTTATGAAGAGACTTGAATGAGGTAACAGTTTTATATTCCATGGATCCTATTACTGTGCATGGAAACATCTTTTATGCTTATATTATGTTTAAAATGCTATTTTCATCACTGCTCCCCCCCCATTTTTTTCCAGTATAAACGTATCCAGTTCCACCCACTAGTTCGGACTCCAGCGCTAGGAGAGCGAAGGCAAACACAGGTTTCCCTCCGACTCTTGTGAAGTGCCCCCACATCTTAACAAACTGCCGCTAACGCAACCATACTTGGTGGAGAATGCTAACCACCAGTTCAGTTACGTCAGCTAACATTAGCATTGCACTGATGGGGGAGAGCTTAGGAGTCTCAAGTTTTTAAAATGATTCTTAATTAAAGATTAAAATGGTCAAATTAAACTCTGAAAATGAGCTGAAATTTAAGATTAAACGAGCCTTCAAGAATCGTAATAAACCGAGTTGAATTATTGTGAGATCAGAGATCCTCATCTCTGAGCCAACTGCATTACCAGAGCTCTCCTCCAGATGGCGCTGCCTGGTGTGGGCCAGGCTGGGCTTGCTGCTCTGAGGAGGCGGCTCTGGTCTTTGTCTGCTCTCTCGTGGCTGGGACTCTGTAGCTGATACTGCGTCTTCCTCCTTCTCGGCCGAAGACAGGCTCAGGCCTTGACCGTCTGACTGGTCGTGTCTGTCCATAGGTGCCGTCTGACCTTCAGCCTGTGACTCAGGCAGCCTGGATGTCTCTCTGCTGGCCAAACTGACCTCTTCTGAGGAGCCAAACACTTCACTATAGTCAGGGGACTGCTGTGGGAATTAAGAACAGCCCAATTACAAATGAGAGAATGCAAAGTATAACATATTTTTATATATGTTTTTATAGAAATATATAAAAAATAGCTATATCAGCACATCAGAGCTTTTACCTGTATGTCTCTATATTATTTAATATCATATCTGTACAACTGGTACCGTCTATATATACAGTATGTACACATGCACATACATTAAACATATACACTGAAATCTACTTATAGTTATCTATATTTTCTATGGTTATAACTTATCAATATTCTTACATATATTAATTTTTTTTCCCTGATTATATTTGTATACTTTGTGTGTTATGCTGCTGTAAAATCTACATTTCTCATCTGGGAATAATGTATTAATTGTATTAATAATTGTAAATGAGTGTTATCTATGTATTTTCTAATCTGTTTGGTAAACTTAGCTTTGACCCTCAGCTTTATGTTTAAACTCTCTTCCTCGGTAAGAAGAGCAGGTTTTGTCTAAAGAACGATTTGACAGTTTTCTTTTCCAAACTATTGGTAAAAGCACTTGAAAGCACCTGAAAGGTCTGATTGGGGATAAAATGTGTGGCCTTTGGTATTAAACCCAAGGCTCGGTGTTCACGACCTACAAAATCCTAACAGACTGTGAAAATAGGGTGCATCTCACACTTGAAGAGCAACAGTCATGCTGTCGATTAGCCTTGATCAATTTTCCAGCCCTCAAAATAAACATTCAGAAAAATAATCATGACATTTTGAGGTACAAGTCTAAAGATATTGACCTTTTTTTTTCATTTGAGAACCTCTAAAGCTTAACTCCTACATCTCTGAAAGTTCATTTAGACTGTTACAGCTGGGGCCGTGGCTATATCAGCATTGTACGGCTTGGCCACACCCCCTCACCTATTGTGGTGCTATTGGAGATCATTTGGTTTAGCAACTTTTCAAGATTTATGATTTTGGTGGAATTAACACACATTTTTACTCAGGGACAGTCAACGTGCCAACATGTGCTATTTCAAGACAGGTTTAAAGTTCGGACGTTTTACAGCATCAAATCTAGACTGGAACTCTTTGTGTGGACACTCAGCAGAAACAGGAAACCTGAGCTAAAGTAGGCTGTCTGTAATAATGGAGCTAACGCTGCTGTAGGTGCTCAAAAGAGTGATCGCTCCACAAGATCACAGCTCAACAGAGTTATCTGAAATATTCTGAGGTTAAATTAGTTTTTCATTTATATGCTGAGCTCATAGACTCCACTTTGTGTTTTCCTCTTATTGCTGTCATCTCTCTTCTATCACTTCCAGGGTGAAATGCTATGGTTTTATGGTCGCTTTGTAATCAACCCTGAAAATTAAAGCTTGTTGCAAGACTACTACTGTAGCAGGGTTTCCTTTGGCCAGTATTTTGCAAATTTTGAAAATGCATAAAAAAAAACTGAATGGACAAAACTCAAAATTCAAAAAACACCCAAATATCGCAAAAAGAGTTTTACGCTGAGATGAGGCGGAAAAGTTAGAATATCGCTAAAGCCAAAATACGAAAAAGAGTGGTGGTGGTTTTTCAAATAAATGTGCCGTAACTGACTCTATTGGATGTCAGGAAACACCTAATTGAGGTGGACACCTGCTAGCCATGTTATCAGTCATTGGGACACTCTGCAGTTTAAAACAAGGACTGAGACAAGCAGAAATAACTAAGAAAGAAAGAAAACATTTATCTGAAGAACCACCCTTCTTCGTATTTTAGATTTAATGATATTCTAACTTTTAAACCTTGTCTCGGCGCAAAACTCTTTTCGCAATATTTGAATTTCGAGTTTTGTCAATTCAGTTTTTTATGCATTTTCAAAATTTGCAAAAAACTGGCCAATGGAGGGCAGTGCGGTGGTACAGTGGGTAGTGCTGTTGCCTCACAGCAAGAAGGGCCTGGGTTTGATTCCCGGCCGGGCGACCAGGGTCATTTCTGTGTGGAGTTTGCATGTTCTCGCCGTGTCTGCGTGGGTTTCCTCTGGGTACTCCGGTTTCCTCCCACAGACCAAACACATGCAGTCAGGCCAATTGGACATGCTGAATTGCCCCTAGGTGTGTGTGAATGTGTATGTCTGTCTGTCTGCCCTGCAATGGACTGGCGGCCTGTCCAGGGTGTATCCTGCCTTCTGCCCAATGACCACTGGGATAGGCTACAGCACCCCACTGCGACCCAGAAGGATAAGCGGTTTAGATGATGTATGTATGTATGGCCAGTGGAAACCCTGCTACAGTAGTAGTTGGAGTTTAGTATGACAGAGTCTTGCAAAACGCTTACATTTTCAGGGTTGATTACAAAAGAAAAATACAACAGTTTGAAGGGATTTAACAAGTGAATGGAAGAGTTGTGCTGCTCTTCTTAAGAGTTCGATGAGTCCTTCTGCTGTTCGAAACAAGCCCTAAGACATCACTGACGTGTTTTTTCCTTGCTTTCTTCCTCTGAAAAGGCTTTGGCAGAAAAAAAAACCTTTAGAATGATGCAGTGATACACAAAAATAGCCAAATGTTCCCCTTTCAGTCTTTTACAGAAAGTACTGCCCTTTCACTGTAAGGACGTGCACTACATGATTAAGCAGAGAGAGGGTATTACACCCATAAAGAGCTTTCACTATGAATAAGCACTCAACATTCCAGATCTCAGTGCTATTACATGGCACAAAGCTGAAACTGGACCAGACCTGTGCTTTTACGCACTCAAAATGTGGAGAAGCGCAGACATCATTCTATTCGTCAACTAGAACTAGAAATGCATTTTACTGCAAACTGACAAGCCTGAGATTGTTAGTTGAGTGCCTTGATTATTAGGCCCTTAAGCTGGAGAGGCACATCTCTTTGCCTTTGACTCTCCTTGCTCTCTCATTGGCTGTTGGCTGAATCCCTTGTTCAGTTATGACGCTGACCATCTAACCACCAACTAAAGGGCTGGTGAATGTTATCTTATGTCTTTCGACAAAGAAAAATGTCAAGATCTGAACTGATTTCTATTAAAACACCTCTTTAATATGTTTAATTCCTGCTAACTATGCAAAATCGCCCTAATAATATCTGTCTGCAGCGCCGCAGAGCCACGGTTTCACGCCAGCAGTTTCAGTCCAGCAGGTTCAAGTCAGTGGCATTCAGCTCATGCGCCAACACTTGTTTTGGTTTTTCTCAGCAAGCATTAGGCTAATTGACATTTCAGTCATTTTAGGTGGGTTTCCAATAAATATGTCATAAATTTGTGTTGGGCTAATGTTATATTTTAAGCTTTCAGCTAAAAAAATGTGGTTCTTGGACGTATCCCTGCTGAAAAAATCCAAAAAAACCATTAACCGTTTCCTTTGGTTTCTGATGGTTTCGCAATGTGTTTTGGCTTTTTAAATGGGTTGATATCACAATGTGAAGGATCCTGATGGATCCTGGTTTAACTGGTTACCAACGGCTGATTCCAGATGTATTTGGCGGTTTCCTACTAGGATCTAAAGATGTTCTACAGAAAACTATTGGTCTCTATTGGAAACCATGAAGCCAGTTCGCTTTCGAAAGCAAAAAATTTGGTTTTACAGGGTAAATATAACAAACTACAGCTTATGTGACCTGGGTAAGGTTATGTGCTGCTGTCTCAAACTTTTAGTAGGCGGTGCTGAAACTTATTGATTAAACTCGCTAATAATTATCATGTGTGTTTTGAGGCTGGCTTGGTTTAATGGAGCATACTCGTCTCTGTAAGATGCAGGAGGAGCTGACGGCCTTTTTTCCTGGCAGTGGAATGCCCGGAATTGACCGTCCTGGGAGCTGAGGGGTCCTCTGAGCTCCCACCAGCCTCCCATTGGCTCCTTCCCGTGCTGGCTCCACCCCGCCGCGGTCCTTACGGTGCTGAATGACGGAGTACAAATTCTCTGCGGTGACACTGAAGTATGAAGTGAGACATAATGAAAATAAGTTGGGGTAAAATGAGAAATGCACTACATGAAAGTGCACTTGGATATCTTCACGTGTTTTTTGCCATAGAAGAGTTACATGTTGTCACAAACAATTTGATCCATCTAAGAAATCATCAAATATGGCAATCATCCCAGACTGCCAGTGCACTGAGAATTATAACAACAACATTTTCAATTTAGAAAAGTACAACCCATGAAGGAAAGACGGTAGAATGAGCTGAATCTTGAAAAAGGATCGCTCTTAAAAAATGAATGAACATATTAAAAAAAGAAGGTTTGCTTTTGCTATCAGTCAAAAAGAATAAGCTCAGAAGCTTCACAGTTTCCATTATATGTCATTAAGAAATTATAATATATATATATATATATATATATATATATACACACACACACACACCGATCCTTGTTTCTACACCCATTGTCCATTTTATCAGCTCCACTTACTATATAGGTGCACTTTGTAGTGCTACAATTACAGACTGTAGTCCATCTGTTTCTCTGCATACTTTGTTAGCCCCGCTTTTACCCTGTTCTTCAGTGGTCAGGACCCCCATAGACCCTCACAGAGCAGGTACTATTTGGATGGTGGATCATTCTCAGCACTGCAGTAACACTGACGTGGTGGTGGTGTGTTAGTGTGTGTTGTGCTGATATGAGTGGATCAGACACAGCAGTGCTGCTGGAGTTTTTAAACACTGTGTCCACTCACTGTCCACTCTATTAGACACTCCTACCTTGTGAGTCCACCTTGTAGATGTAACGTCAGAGACGATAGCTCATCTGCTGCTGCACAGTTTGTGTTGGTCATCCTCTAGTCTTTCTTTAGTGGTCATATTTTTGGTTGGTGGACTATTCTCAGTCCAGCAGTGACACTGAGGTGTTTAAAAACTCCAGCAGCACTGCTGTGACTGATCCACTCAGACCAGCGCAACACACACTAACACACCACCACCACGTCATAGTAAGTGGAGCAATAAAATGGACAAAGAGCGTAGAAACAAGGAGGTGGACATAATGTTATGCCTGATCAGTGTATATATATATATATATATATATATATAATATATATATATATTATATATATATCTGTTGTTGGAAGAAAACCTCGTATTTCCAAAATGGTAACTTTACAGGAGAAGGAAAAACCTACTTTACTTTTAATGTAAGTCAGTGGAACCAGAATTTTTTCCAAGTCATTTTGGGTCGTTTCTTTTAGTCCATTCGTCATGAAATTTACACACAACGTAAAAGGTAACAAGTATTTTCAAATTATGTCAAAAACTGAAACACGTCAAAAATGGAGGTGTGTGTGTGTGTTGGATATATTACATATATTAGATAGACAGGTAAACCAGCACCTCAGTGTAGACAAACAGGACACATCTGAACACACTTCGAACATCTCACAAACAAAGCTTACTTGGTGCGACATTCGTCCCCACAGGCCCCGCTCTGGCCAGCAGGCTCTGCCTCCTGATAGGACGCTGAATTGCGGTTCTTCCTAAAGCCTGAGAAGATGGACAGTACGCTACGTCTCTTCTTACGCCTCAGAGCCTGGGCATGATGGTGGGAGGACAGCTGACTGTTGGACAAACAGGGATGAGAGGTCAGAAAGGAGCTGCCAGCAGTCTACAGTTCTAGCTAACATGCTAGGCTATCATGCATCAACTAGCTAGGGTTACCTTTGTAAGCATCTATAAACGCATTCATAACATGTTATAATGCATGCATAAGACATTATAAACATGGCTATAAATATTTATAAAAATGCATTATACGTTATAGCCCTGTTTATTATGCATTATGAATTGTTAACATAATACATTATAAGTACTGATCGTAACAATTTATAAGAGCTCATAAGCCGTTTTTGGCTGCTCTAAGTAAAGTGAAGCGTACTGTACTAAAGCCTCCTCCAGTGTTAAGAGTGAGGCTTCAAGTTGAAGTATTTACTGAAGGATTTACTGAAACACTAAAACATACACAATAAAGCACATTACAGGCTTCAAATGTCAGAGTTTAAACTAGTGCTGCCATCAGTGTTTTACCCAATGTGGGAAAGTCAATGTACACCACCGTTAGCTTGGTATTTGTCTTTACTTTGCAGTCTCCAAGCTGGGACTGACTTCTTTGGCACTGACAGTATAACATGTTATGAACACTATTTATAATGCATTATATTAACAATTCATAATGTATAATAAACATGGCTATAAAGTGTAATTCAGTGTAATTCTTTTTATAAATATTTATAACCATGTTTATAATGCCTTATGAATACATTATAACATGTTATAAATGTGTTTATAGATGCTTACAAAGGTGACATTCATAGAAAGTGTTACCATATTGTGGGTCTGTAGTGCACTTGTAGGTCTATAGTCTGTTTACTTTGTGTTTTGCACAAGTTTAACTTAGGACTATCTGTCCTTTAAAGCATCATTATCATCCACTTTGTTGGAAATAACTACCACTTACTGTCAACTGTGAGTTCTACCTGCTTTATAGGTCCACTATACAGGTGTACAACTACAGACGGAAGTGTTGCTGCACTTGACCCCATTCTATCCCCTTCATTCTTGGTCACTTTCTCCTGCTGAGAGTGGCTCTGTGGCCATTCATGAAGGGCTCGAGCAGAGGTGTTCCAACTTTTTTCAAAGAGGGCTAGAATGGCCCCTATTAAAATACCTGAGGGCTGGTCATTCTTTGCCAAAATGTTATTCATAAATAATTTTAAATATACTGCATTCAAAATATGAAAAAGATCTAGAATAACTAATATTTACTGCAAAAATGACTGAATTTGCTTTGATTAAAGAGCTTTTTTTGTCCCTTGAATTCTTATTGTCCATGCTAGGTTTCATGTATTTGTATACATCCGCCACAATGTTTGTGTGTAGTCATGACTAAATGTCATTCCTTAAATTAATTTGCAGGTTAATTGGATATTAATTGTAGGGTTATAGCACTGCTACCATCATCAAGTAAAAGGAACAATTGCAACATATTGGCTGGACGGATTAAAATGAATCAGCGGGCTGCATTTGGCCCTGGGGCTGGACTTTGGACACCCCTGCACAAATTGTGCACGGAAAAATATGAACTATAGACTCAAGGCAGGTGTCTTTAAAAAAATGTCCAGTGAGTGTACATGTCATATAATGTATATGTCCAAAAGTATTCAGACACCCCGTCAAAATAGATAATTCAGCTACTTTAAGCTGACACAGGAATGTCATAGGAGAACTTTCAGGGCCTTCTAGGCCCAGCAGCTCCCTAAGCAGCTCCCTAAGAACAGTGTTTACTGAGGAAGTCACTGTAAAACTGCTACAGTGTGCAATATGTGTTCATATCTTTGACAAGCTTAAAATCCCTGTGTCTAATCTAAAATGTATTGCATTGCCAATAGAACTGGACACTATGGAGCAGCCACACAGTTCATCATGCCTGATGGCAGGCGTCAGCTGGAGGGGTATAAAGCCCCCCAGCACTGTGCTGTGGAGCAGTGAAAATGAGTGATAGAGCTCCTTCCAATTCCTTTAGGAAGAGCTGGAATGATGTCTGTGATCCAGGACTCATTATCCAACATCAATAGCTGACCTCACTAATGCTGTTGTGGCTGAATTTTCCAAAATATCGCTGCTGTCGGAAGAAAACCTCATATCTCCATTTTTGTCGTTTTTCAGTTTTTGACATAATTTTAAAAAATACCTGTTGCCCTTTACATTGTGTCAGAATTTCATGAATAATGGACCAGAAGAAACGGCCCAAAATGACTTGGAAAAAGTTTGGTTCCATTGACTTACATTAAAAGTAAAGTAGGTTTTTTCCTTTTCCTGTAAAGTTACCATTTTGGAGGTATGAAGTTTTCTTCCGACAGTGATATGTAATACATATATATATACTATAGTGTAAAGCCTCCTCAGAAAAGCAGCAAGGTCCTATTAACACCTTTGTTTTCTGAAGAAACGTTGGAGAAGCAGGTGTCTACAAACTTTTGGACACATAGTGTTGCATTTAACAATCCATATTCTGGTCGATGTGTAATACTATTGCAATTACTGCATCAATATAAGAGACCTGTCTGGTAGGACCCTCTTGGTGTAGAAATCTGGCAGGCCATCATCCAACAGGTTGACTCCCCCATTCTCAGAAGAATGCTGCACAGCAAGAAGAAAACATGATGGTAAAGGAATTGAAAATGCAGAGAAAGACAAAACAGATGTTTTCAAATTCTAGCATATGGTCCCTCAGATCATCCTGAAGCTTTTCACAGATCGGCAGATAACTTTTTTCCCTGACGCTGCCGCCGCGTCCTCTGGGCGCAGTGCCTGTGTTCGCTCGATGCATTAATATGATAAGCAAAGGTGACAGATCCGCAGGAGGAGACATGAATGTAGCCTGCAGCCCCTCAACTTTAAGCGAATGTGATTAAAGGGAGCGACTCATAAGAGCGCTAAGACTTTGAAGTTGTTTCAGTCTATTTCTGGCAGAGTGAAAACATGGGCGAAGGCTCTAAACTCGCACAGACACAACGCGTTTAGGAGACAGAGGCAAGATTCATAATTTAGAGAGGAGAGCGAACGGAACGGTGAGAGAAGGATTAATTATCCACTACGTGTGTGGTTTCAGACACTGCGTGATATGGTGGGCAGGCTTCCACCCAGCTGTCGAGTTAAATTCAAGCGTATAGCTGAAATGCCACAAAACATATGCAAATTAGGCTGAGTTTCCATCAGAGTAAAATGATCTATGTCACGTTTATGAAAACACTGGGAAATATGAGCTGAAGCTACAGAGAAAATCTCCTTCACCAACGTTTTTGGCTGTATTTTTATGTCACAGGAGTCCAATCCCATTTCTCCTTGTTTTCGATGGTCACCTTGCCCTTTGGAACTGAGTTACAAGGGGTAGTGGTTGAAATCTTGCCCTGTGAAATGGGACCCTCAAATAAAAAGAATATTACTTCATTAACAGCTACTAGTGCTGCTCTGTGGGCGACCCTGCCAGTCTGCAGCGATAGCAGGGTAAAGTTCAGCAACCTCACTGCTGGGCTTTAGTTACATTTAGGGAATCATATGCCTTCAAAGAGGGGGGGTGGGACCATTATTGATCATTGCCCACCCATAATTCTTCAGTGATATGAAGCTGAAGTCAGCTATTTGTCAGCTTCTTATTCAAATTTTCCAGTTCTACCTTAAATAGTGCAGCAGTCACATTCTGGCGCTTCAGGCATCAATACTGCTGGACTGTTTAAGGTGGAACGGGAAATTTATCTAGCTAGTTACCGAGACGTTAGCATACTATTATGGATTTTTTTATGCTTGTTATGAAGAAAAGGACCATAATCCATTGAAACGACATTAAACTAAGATAATATAATGGTTATCGTAATTTTTTTAATGGTGGAAATTCTCATATTCATGGGTTTCTTTGGTCGCTTGCGCAGCCATCACTCTGTTTGGACTGTGCCTCTGAAAAACCTCTATTTGCAGGGTCATGTAGCCCTAACACTTCACCTTACCCCTCTATCTTAACAAAAATCGGGACACCCTGAACGCGCATAACGGAGGGCTAAGGGCTAAGTGGTAGGGTTCAAGGGGAAAATTGGGATTAAGCCTTGAAACATACTTCATTATTTCCTCCTATTTTTCTTTATTTCTCTTATCAGTCAGAGAGGATTAATTCAGCAATCAGTTGTTTCCTACATTGTTCAAGCCATTAAGCATTACTTGAGCAACATTAGGAACTACATTGTACGACCAAACGTATGTTGACACACCTCTTAATTAATGAGTTCAGGCCACACCCATTGCTAACAGGTGCATGAAATCAAGCTCATAGCCTTGCAACCGCCATAAGCAAACACTGGCAGTACAATGGGTCGTACTAAAGAGCTTACTGACTTTAAACAGGGCACCGTCATAGGATGCCACTTTTGCCACAAGTCAGTTTGTGTAGTTTCTGCTCTGCTAGATCTGCCCCAGTCAACTGTAGACATACTTAAAGGGGAACAGATTGCAAGCAAGACACTCAGTTCCATGGGTTTAATAGTAGACTTACTTTAATGTAACATCATGAGATTTAGCTTGTTTGTAGCGTGCACATAGCATTATTCATATTTCACCTGCCACATAACCTGCCTAATACAAGTTCCTAATGTGGTCATTTCTAATTAAACAACAGTAAATCATATGTCAGTGTCAGAAAACACGCAAGAAAGTCTATCTGAGACTATTTAACACTGCGGTTTGCACAACTAAGGAGTCAAACTTAAGGAGTCAGACAACAAAAACATTTTGGCTGATTTTTTTTTTTTGCCTAATTTTTTGACAACCCAGTGCTTAAAGACTACAATTTGGTGAAGCCAAAGCACCCACGTCAAGCAAAAACAAATTTTCCTTCATTTTTTGTACAGTAAAAGAGTTTGATGTAGTATGCAAACACTTAAAGTTTCAAAACATAGTGTTCTCCCTCCAATCCATACAGGCCACATATGAAAACTAAGCTGCAAAAACGGCCCTTTTTCAATTCACTGTTCTTATGATGTCACAAAAACCAAAATTACACATGTCTATTCGTCCTACAGCAGTTTAGCCCTGCCAAGTTGTGCTGAAGTTACAAGCAGTGTTTCAGCCCAAAGTGCCTTCTGAATGAGGGACAATGCAGGACAGCCAATCAGAACAGAGTGCCATAGCATATATCAGTCTTAAAGGTGCAGTCTGTTTAATTCTAAAGGATAGAGAGGTCAGAAAATGATCATGTAACAATAAAATTAGGATTTTTTTTGGTAAATAAAAGCACTTTTTTTAACCAGTGTTCAAAGTGGACCTTTTTAGTTTATTGATTAGGGCTGTGTTCAAAATAGACTAGTATATACTGCTCTCATACTGCCTGTGACCGAAAGTAGTAAGTAGTATGCAGTTTGTGCCCAGCATGAAATTCTCTATTATGCTGAAGAGTCCCAGATGACGCTCTGCTCTGGTGAAATATTCCAGTACACAGCCAGCGCTATCTTCAATCTGCAGTCCTGAGTCTCAAAATGCAGCAGTAATTTCAAAAGGACGTAACCACTGACATAACCGCCTGGTTATGGATACAGAAATGAAATGAAAGGAAATCATTTTTCCTGCTGGCAGTGGGGGTAAAGCCCTGTCTGATTTGTTTGCTGGTCTTGAGATGGGGTTTGCTTACTTTGTATATTTACAACCCCATTTCCAAAAAAGTTGGGACACTGTGCAGAATGTAAATAAAAATAGAATGCGATTACATACAAATATTTCTGAAGGAAAATATACAAAGACAACATATCAAATGTTGAAACTGAGATTTTTCTTTTTCTTTTTTGAAAAATAGATGCCTATTTTGAATTTGATGCCAACAACATGTTCCAAAAAAGTTGGGACGGGGGCTGTGTTTACCACTGTGTTTCACCACCTCTTCTTTTAACAACACTCTGTAAGCGTTTGGGAACTGAGGAGACACTGCTGTAGTTTTGAAAATGAAAGTTTCCCATTCTTGTTTGATTCAGGATTTCATCTGCTCAGGAGTTCAGAGTCTCCTTTGTTGTATTTTTCATTTCATAATGCACCAAATGTTTTCAGTGAGTGAAAAGTCTGGACTGCAGGCAGGTCAGTTTAGCACCCGGACACTTTTAATACAGAGCCATGCTGCTGTAATATGTGCAGAATGTGGTTTGACATTGTCTTGCTGAAATAATCAAGTCCATCCCTGAAAAAGACGTTGTCTGGATGGCAGCATATGTTGCCAAAACATGTATATATCGTTCAGCATTAATGGTGCCTTCACAGTGCCCGTCACCCATGCCATGTGCACTAATGCACCCCTATACCGTGATGGAATACTGGCTTTTGCACTGCATGCTGATAACAAGCTGAGTGGTCTTTAGCCTGGAGGACACAGTGTCCATGATTTCCAAAAAGAATTTCAAGTGTTGATTCGTCGGACCACAGGACACTTTTCCACTTCCCCTCAGTCCATTTTAAATGAGCTCAGGCCCAGAGAAGGTGGCAGCGTTTATGGATCCTGTTTATATATGCTTTCTTCTTTGCATTTTAGAGTTTTAAATTGCATTTTTGGATGCAGCGACAAACTGCTTTCACACACAGTGTTTTTTCAGGAGTGTTTCTGAGCCCATGCAGTGATTTCCACTACAGAATTATATCTGTTTTTAATGCAGTGCAGCCTGAGGGCCCAAAGATCAAGGCCAGCAAATACTGGTTTTGGCCTTGTCCATTGCATACAGAGATTTCTCCAGATTCTCTGAATCTTTTAATGTTATTATGTACCGTAGATGATGAAAAGCAAAAGTTCTTTGATTTGATTGTGCAGTCTTTCACAGAGTGGTGAACCCCTCCTCATCTTTACTTCTGAAAGACTCTCTGGGATGCTCTTTTTCTACTCAGATGTCACTGACCTGTTGCTAATTAACCATTTAATAACACTTTTCTCGCATCTCCGGCAGGAAACTTTTCCTCAAAAGTGGAATAGTTTCTTGTAAAATGTCTCTCAACATTCGATTTTTTAAGATGGAGAAGTCAGTTTCTCATTCACCAGCTTCTTGTTCAAATTTTCCCGTTCCACCTTAAATGGTGCAGCATTTACATTGTGGTACCTCAGGCACCATTTAAAGTGGATTGGGAAAATTCGAACAATAAGCTGGTGAATGAAAAGCTGATTTCAGCCATGTGACTTTTTATGGTTTGATAGTTTCTAATTGCAGATTAAACGTATCAGGAAACTGTAGTGCTTATAAATGCAAATAAGTCTATTTGTCTCCAAATTATCGATGCTCGTCTTAAATCTTTCTTGTCTGCATTGCTATGGCGACCAGCAGTCTGCACGCCAATGTTCAGTGTTAAAGGGTGAATTAGTTCTACATTAACTCCAGTGTTTAAGGCCATCCATCCATCCATCCATCATCTAAACTGCTTATCCTTCTGGGTCGCGGTGGGGTGCTGGAGCCTATCCCAGCTGTCATTGGGCGGAAGGCAGGATACACCCTGGACAGGTCGCCAGTCCATCGCAGGGCGTGTTTAAGACCATTTATTGTTAAAACTGTGTTGAACGATCAACAGAGCTTTATTTACTGCAAATGAGGATTATTTTATTTTTATATAAAAATCTAATTCTGCTGTGGAGCCGCAACAGGACAGTAAAAGAGCAGCATGTGGCGCCAGAGCCGCATGTTGCCAACCTCTGGCATAGATCGGCATTGAGGCTTACGTATGGAGTTTTGCTACTTATTATTCAGTCAAACTAGCTCATATTTCCAACTACAAATGCAATGGAAAAGAAATGACTGACCTTTTAGCAAATATAGGAACACAGGTTTACCGCACAGATTCCAAGCTGACATTTTCACAAGTTTCTTTGTGTCTTTGGAGATAAGTAACAAAAAACCCTCCACTCTGTCATCTTTCAAAACGCAGCAGGCACATCTCTTGACCAAAATATATATCCCCACGTGATGGCTGACCTGAAAGGCAGTTAACAACGGTTGCTAAGCAGTGATTGGAGGCCTAAGGAAAATGGGGTGGGTCTTGAGACGGTCTGATTGGCTCATTCCCTGATGTTAGTCTAGTCTCACCCTGCCCTGTAGTACAACAAGCGGCTTTGTTAAATACTGGGTACTGTACTGTACACTACTATGAAGAATAGTATGCAAGTATACAGTATACACTAGTGCAGTATGCCATTTCAGATGCACTCCAGGTCTTTACCATCTCCACAGGGGCATGCCCGGCCCTGTGCCTTCTCGGAGGACGGGGTCTGACGTGGGTCACGTGGCGCAGAGGTGCCCCCTGAGTAGGCAGGGTGGACAGACCTTCCCATGAGGTTGAACGAGAAAGGGGAGCAGCTGGACGAGGCACCGAGAGAGAAGGAGAGGAGTTAGGGTCATCACCTAAACCTGGGAGAAGGGACAGGTGGGAGGAGAGAGGTGTGAGCATGCATATTAATTATATATAACTATAATAAAGAAATAGTTTGGGAAAATCAAATAAAATGTACACAGCTGTCCCTCCGCCTTAAATTTAATTGATCAATGAAGACGTTTGGTCTCCAAAGTATGCTTCTCTATTTATATACGCTTGCGTGGTGTTTATGTGGTTTTAGCCTTCAATCCTATTTTTCTTGATATTGGAAATTTGATTTGCACATGGGAAAATGTCATTTGCATATTAATTTTAAAATTTAACTCAACATAAAAAAAGAATTTTCTTAAAAGAAAGAATTGAATTTTCACTAGTAAAAATGAAATGTTTGATATTAAGAAAACAATGTGTACTAGTAAAAATGTCATTTTCAATATTAAAAAATTAAACTTCCACATGTAAAAATTTATTTCTACTAGTGAAAATTCCGTTCTTCTAGTCAAAATTGATATTTTTGCATTAACTATTATTAGTAAAATTTCAACTACACTTGGGATAAGGGGGAAACATCAGATTTGTGTACTTCAGATTTATTCTGGATGCAAGAAAGAGCTCTTTTAAAGCTGCACTATGTTTTAAGTATTTAAAGTTTTTTTTTGTCAAAACTAAAGCAGCAAGAGTCTTTTCTAAAATTTGACTGAATCCTCTTTGAACACTTTTTCAACGAGTTAGCAATCATCATTACAATAATACTTATGTTTTAGCTTGAGGCTGTTTTCACTGTGTTGGTATTCTAGGCTTGCTATGTTTGCTGCTTAATGAATAAATAATTACATTATAAATTATACAAATACATGAAAAAATGATTCAAATTACTTAGAAAAGTTGAAAAGTTGTCTTTTTCACTTAATGAAATTATGTACTGTGATTGGTTGTTTCTGTTGGTAAACTCCAGTCTCTGTAGAAAAGCACAGAGCCATATGCTAATCTAAAACAGCTCAGATGGCCTTTATTTTTGGACTGAAAATAGCCTAAAATGAATGGAAAAGATTGGAGAGCATCTATCAGACGGTCCTCTCGTGCCCGAGCAGCTCACTTCCAGCTGTTCTGCTCTCTTCTTTTTCCATTTATCAAAACAAACCTTACTTGTGGGTCCCCCTGGTGGTTTGGGGGATCTAAGCAACTGCTCATAGCAAGAAAAGGCCCTGCTGCTGCATGACTGCTAACTCCTGATTGAGTGAGTGTGCTGCTCTGAGGCCGCTGCAGCTGTCCTGCGTGACTCACTCAGTCTGGTGGAGACGGGGCGGATGCGTCGTGTTCTGGAGCTGCGCTTCTTTATTGCGATGGTATCCTGTGCACAGATGGAGCGGATGAGTAAAGTGTGTGGGTGCACCAAAACACCAAAACACAGAAACAGATGGCCAGGCCATGGAGGCATGTGGCCACGGTTAAACAACACCAAAGCACGAAGTGCAACACAACCTCAGTCTGTGATGTGGAATCTAAGCAGTGCACTCACTATGCTGATGCCAAAGTCGTCCTCGGGGATGTCCATTGGGTCGCCGTGTCTGAGCGTGCGCCTGGCCGTGCCGCCATCGTCCAGCCGCCGCATCTGAGCGACCTGATGAAGCTGAGAGCAAAGAGAAAAGCACGAGCGAGGCTGTATGAGGAAATGAATGCTAATTGCACTTCTTTTGATTAGTCATGATGCCACATGGGTAACTGCAATTCAGTCCACAGAGATGATGCATTCCGCGGGAACACTTGAGGTTCGTCAAGCTGATTCAGTCCTGATTCAGCGGAACACCCGGAATACTCATCGCAAAGAAATGAGGTTGGGCAGATGCTGTGTGCACTCAACAGAAAATCTGAGCAATTCACTTGAAGCTCTCGTTTGAGGAACTGAACTGTTTATCACAGGGATTGCTCAATTTCAGTGTGGCAATAATACTAAATGGAACGGAATGGACTTAATTGCATTATATATTTAGCACATTTAATGATATTTCAATTCACTGTTTTGCCCCTTCCAGTTAGTAACTGTAATGCATTTGATTAGACTACTAATGCAAGGAATTGGAAAGCGGTGTTTTCATCCAATTTGTTTGGAATGTAATAGATTAACCATGATATCACAGTACAGAGGCTAGGACCTAGGGATGTAACGATACACAAATTTTATGATACGATAGGTACCGTCACCTTTGCATGGCAGTACGATACATTTCTGAAACTTCAACATGTGTTTTTGCATTTATTTATTTTTTTGGTAATTGGTAATTCCCAAAACGAATTTTATTGTCTTACCTTCTGGCTTAAATGACTGTGAGGCAGACTTTGTAATATTTTTAATTACTCCCAGCAAACTGCGGAATCCACACCCAAATAGAGGTGGACTATACAACCGAACAGAGGTGCAAATCAGGAGCTTTCATCGCCTCTGTTTTCTCCATGAGGCTGAAGTTGGCTTCCTATTCGCCCACTTCTCATTACAATTTTCTGCTCCACCTTAAAGGGAGCACCAATAACAATAACGGAAAATTCAGATAAGACACTGGCTAACTTTAGCTTAGCCTTTTTTCCTTGGTGTGGTAACTGACACATTTGGATGATGTCTTCACAAATGAGGTAGCATAGCTGAGGTATTAGCATTAACATGAGTATCTGATCCTCACTTTAAGCAATGCGGGCACTGTGTCACTGTCTGATCTATCATTCCTTCCCCATAATTACTGGCCTTGACTGAGAAACCTCACTATCTCAAACAGCTAATCATCCATCCAATTTAGGTTATCACTTTTAGAAATATAGTGAATTGTGTTAAATAGAACTATATAAACCATTCCTATCATTATCATCCGTTTTATAACATGAAATCTAACAGCATTTGATTCACAGTGTATATATCTCACAACCCCTGTATAAAAAAATGAATATTAACAGCATATTGTGACATGCCTATTAGGGACTGGCCAATATATTGTTTGCCCAATACAATCAACCAGCAATGATGGGATTTATCCATAAAATGACAGATAGAACACATTGTGTTTAATAGCATCTTAATTAGTATTGCAACAAAGTCAGAATTTTAAAAATTTTCAAGTAGTCATGGAAGTTTTTTAAAAAAAAAAGGGAATAGTAAATTTGAATTTTTAATACAAATTAGCCTCTCTCAAACTCTCTCAAAACTTATGAGCTGCCTGAACTCCGTCTAAGAGCAGTGAAGAGTCTACTTATTATGCTTTGGACAGAGTTTCTTATCTGTTTATTCCAAAGAAGGAAGCATAGAAAGACTACTGCAGCCGTTAAAAGGCTACTGCACACTGGATGAGAAGCGCAGCATGTAGCACAAGCGCAGTTAAACAACAAGCTCAATCTAATTTTACACTCTACTTATATAGATTTAATGAAATAAAATTTTCAGCATCATTTAGTACATTTATCACATTTGGTATGAGCTAATTCTTCACAAGCTTGCTTGCTGGCTTAAAAGTACAAGGTGAGCAGGATAGGAACATTAGCTAGGGTAGCAGAGGATTAGCATATGTTTGTTTATCTTAAAGACTTCAGATTGGCTGCCTTTGTCTAATGTAAATTTCAAACTAAATTACTTACTTGCAAGAGCAAAAGACAGAGGGACATCTAGCCAATCATATGTCCAACTATCCATTCATCTAACAAATCATCTAGGAAACCATCCATACTTCCATCCATCTATCCAACCAACCATCCATCCAACTGTTCATTCCTCCATCCAACCAACCAACAAATCGTCTTACAAACCACCTCCAGATTTCATATCTAAACGATCTGATTTTCAGATCAATAGAGATGTAGAGTGAAAGTAGGTGTAAAACAAAGAATACCAGGGTCTTGTGAGTTGCGTAGAGCTCTTGAAGGATCTGGTCCACAACAGAGTTGGTGAGATAGGAAACCACAGACAGCTTGACCTCCCTGAGAAAGACAACAAAAAAGGTACCATTTAGAAAAAACACCACTCATCTAGTAAGATCAAGATCCAAAACACACTTGTCTTTCTTCTGCCCATCACTGGACAGCACCTGTTCAGTCCCTGTATCAACTCCTAGCTCCTGTGTTGAAGAACTGACTGAAGCACTCTGAGCTCACAGAGCCTTAATGATGTACTTGGACTCGCTTGTGTTTTGTTGTATTATATAAGATTAATTCATTTAATGTTTCAAGTCATATATCAACATAAACCAACGGGTGGGAAAAATAATATTAACCAATTATATCATATTTCACCTCCTGTCTCACAAGCCCCACCTATCAGAGAGAGAAAATACTCAGGCAGTTCAGAGACACTCCCTGATAATGTGTTTCATTTGGAAATACAGTATGGAAGGAAAATGTGTTATGAATTCTGATTCACTTAATAACTTTGTTTTTGTTTTTTTTTACAGCTTTCTACTAATCATTTATAAATAAATAAAGGCTCTCTGGATCTTACTCCAGTGCACGGTTGATGTCTAGTGCTGCTCTCTCCATCAGTGCAGTGCGGATAGCAGAACGAGGGATGGACACACGTTCAGAGATGGAGGACAGAGGAGGAGAGAGTTGTTCTGCAGCAACAGTAGAGAGTGGACACAGCTCCCGACACAGAGACACCATGGAGTCCACGATCACCTGGAAAAATCAATCAATGAACCAAGCAGTCAGTCCACAGATCCATCCAGCCAACTGACATCTCTTTGTCCATCTCTTCATCCAATCAATAAAACGACCATCCAAGCAACTATACATCAACCATCCATCAATCCATCCATCCAACCAACCAAGCAACCATCTAACAAACCACTCATAATCTGTCCAAACCTCCATCCAACCAACCAAACAACCATCCAACCATATATACCACCATTAAACGAACCGCTTAACCATCTGTTTCGTCAGTCCAACCAACCATCCATCTGTTCAGCGCTCCATCAACCAACCATTCAACTAAGCATAGGCCCAACAATCCATGCATTAAATCAACCATCAATGCATCCATCCATTCATCCACCCATCTATCCAACCTTCAATCCAACTGTTGATTCCTTCATCCAATCTACTAAACTATCATCTAACCAACCATATGTCCAACCATACATGCATTCAACCAACCATCAATGCATCCATCTATTCATCCACCCACCCATCCATCCAAGAAGCAATTAGTTCATCTATCCCTCAATTCAACCAACCTAACAACCATCTGCCATCCAGCCAATGAACCGACCATCTAACTAATCACAGGTCTAATCATCAATCCATCTATTCATCCGTCCACCCATCTGATAATCTATAAGTCTGATAATCTATCCTTCCATTCAACCAACCTAACAACCATCCAACCATCTATCCATATATCTGTTCATCCACCCATCTATCCAACCTTCAATCCAACTCCTCCATCCAACCTACTAAACTATAATCTAATCAACCGATATTTCCAACCATCAATGCATACAACCAACCATCAATGTGTACATCCACTCACCCATCCATCCAGTAATCCATTAGTCCATCTATCCCTCCATTCAACCAACCTAACAACCATCCAACCATCTATCCATACATCCTTCCATCCACCCACTGAACCAACCATCTAATCGACCACAGGTCCAACCATCAATCCATCTAACTATCCATCCATTCATCCACATAAACAACCTTCCACTCATTTGTCCACATAAACAAACTTCCATCCATTCATCCACCCACCCATCCATCCAATAACCTTTTAGTCCATCTCTCCCTCCATTAAACCACCTAACATCCATCCAACCATCTATTCATACATCCATCAATCCAGCCAGTGACCAACCATCTAACGAACCACAGGTCATCCAACAATCCATCTACTTCCATCCATTCATCCATATAAACAACCTGCCATCCACCCATCCATCTATCTGTGCAACCCTCCATCCACCCAATCAAAGAACCGTCCGCCTAACTAACCAAACGACCAACCATCCCTGTGATCACAACAGGGAAGGACAATTTATAAAGAGAAAGAGGAAACCCTCACTTGTAGCTCCTTGTCAGCAGCTTTGGCCAGCTCTCCAGCCAGGGACTCCAGTCTCTGTCTGACCGGGCCATCCACGGATAGCACATGAGCCAGCTCACACAAAGAAGGGTAAAGCTGTAAAAGACCAGAGACAACAAGAGTAAAAAAGCAGACACAAAAAAACTGCTAGGAAACATTTATCTAGGCCATAGACCCTCCTTCTGCTCCTCTCCATTACTTACCGCTCGAGAGTTCCTGGCCTCCTTCAGAACCTGCCTGGCAGCCTGGAGCTCCTCCCCCTCACCTGTTCCTCTCAACACACACACCTGCTGCTGGACGCGCACACACAGACGCTCCATCACCTGTGAGAGAGAGAGAGAGAGAGAGAGAGATAGAGAGACTCATCTCAGCACAGAGAACAAGGAGTTCATATTACCATATTAAAGAGAGACGGCAGCATCAGAATGCATAAGGAATGAAACAGAAACATATGTAAGCAAGGTCACCCAAGCCTAGACGTCGATACAGCAAGTGCTGTGAGAAATATTCAGTTCACACTAGCTAGATTTCTTCTTCACACTGCAGCTGAAGCAAGCCATCCATCTGTTTTTAATTCATACATTTTTTAAGCCAGTGAGGGGGGATGTGTTTACATTTGTTGCTGAGCTGGACCAACGTAAAAGTCAGAAAGGCCCTTTTCACATTTCAAGCATTCCACTTCTGTTATTTTCTGAAGCAGATAATAACATTTCCGAATAATTACATTGCATATCAAATACCAAAGTCTATTAGACATAAGGCTGAGATGTCTGACCTCTATAGTCCATCAGAGGGCAATGAAGAGTCTGTGTCTTACATTCATGTTAGAGGTACTAGTCTGTAGTCCTTAAAAAAGGACAAGTTAATTTTACACTCTACCAGCTCTTTTGTCGTTTTTTCAGTTTTTCACATAATTTGAAAATTCCTGTTACTTTATGTGTAAATTTTGTGATGAATGGACCAAAATAAATGGCCTAAATTTCTTGGGAAAAAAGTCTGGTTCCATTGACTTACATTAAAAGTAAAGTATGTCTTTTCATTCTCCTGTAAAGTTACCATTTTGGAGACATGTGGTTTTGTTCCAACAACAGGGATATATTTAATGGAACAAAATATTCAGCATAATTTAGAAAATTTATTATGTTTGGTATCAGCTAAATATCTCTTCACAAACTCACTGTTTTTGGGCTAAAAGGTACAAAGCTGAAATAGGTTGTGCTAAACCTCTGCCCAATGACAGTTAATTGAGTAAACTATCACAATAACAACCCCCAAGTGATGGTAAAAAACTCATTTTTCAACTCATACAGTTGGTTAAAAAAGGCTTTGTTCATATATATTAATTTATTCCTTGCAAATCATAGCAAGACATTTATGAACTGAACTTGTAAATGCTGGGTGATGTGACATCACATAGCATTAACACATTTATTGTACCTAACAGATGAGATTGATTTGAAAATGCAGCTGTTCAGCTGCACTGGTGGGTGATCTATGTTACAGTGTATGGTTTAGTATATCCTAGGACCACACAGTCGGGTTTCAGACATCAGTGAAAGTGCTTTAGGTCTTGGGAAAGGCCCTTTTATGTCTCAGCTGGCATACAATTGGACAAAAAGGCATCAGGCTAACCTCCCCTGGATAATAAAGTTCTTGAGCCATTCGCAATTCCATTCATTCTCAAGGAGGAACTGTTCTAAGTTTCCTCATCATTAAATAAATAAAACCAATAGGGGCAGATTTACTACAATTTTGCACCATTGCAAACCTTGTTTTTTGTTTTAAAAAAGTGGCTGTCATGATTCACTAGAAAGGGACAAACTCACTGTTTATGAGCTGAAAGATAGGAGGTGAAAAAGGCTAAGCTAGGAGCATCAGTGGAGGTAACAGTCTGTTATAATGTTCCTGTTTATCAGAAATACTGACTGCTTTTTTATGTGTAAATTTAAAGGGACATGTGTCCTACTGTGGCTCTCTGTGGCCTCAGTAGGTCTTTAATTTATTACAGTAATGGTAAAATGCTGAGTGGCGCAATGTGATACACCGAGAAATTGAACAGTGGCCGGAATTGGCGCTAAGTGTTAGTGGCCGTGTGCGTACCTCCATTAAAAACAATGGTTTTGAATTTGAGCATGCTCTGCCACATCAGTGATTAGGTCATCGAGCCACGATCACGTTGCATTCTGGGACGCAGTGTATAATGAAGATAGCTCTGGCTGCACACTAGAAAATTTGTCCAGAGTAGTCCATCATCCAGGTATCTTTGACACAGACTGCATCCCCCCTAATATTTTGGGGCACAATCAGTGTAGTAGGCTATTTTGAACACAGCCATAGTTACCTGCTTTTAGAAACTAACTAAAAGGGGCCTTTTGCCCCACTTGAGCTCAGGGAACTTTGACTGGCAGTCAAGTGGGTAAGAGAGTACCTGTTCAGCAGTACTGGTGACCAAACCCTGATGCAGCCTTAAAGCCTGCTTCTGTGAGAATCGCTGAGTTTGATTGTTCCTCAACAGAGCCCGCTGGATCTGACAGATGGAGTGGGAGAGAGAGGGAGAGAGAGAGAGAGGGGGAGAGAGAGAGAGAGGGGGAGAGAGTCATAAACTGTGCATATTCCACAGTGACAATGATATTCAGATAAGTGTTCCAGTCATATGGAAACCAGCCTAATTAAATGCGTGATGAGTCAAGATAAGCATACTGTGAGTTGCCAAATCCTTCCCAAAGTCACCTTCCAAAGAAGAGCCTTCAATTTTCAGGTCTGCAGAGCAGTGATGAACCCACGTCAGCATAATACTGTTCACGTAAACATTCTGCACATCTACTGTCCTGGCTGGTTTTATGTATGACATCACAGCTCCCCATTTTCCACGTTTTGTACATAGCTACTAAATACACATTAATCAAAGGGAAGCTCCATCCAATCAGACACAGCATATGAGGTAAGGCCTTATATTGTTAATTATAGAGATATGATTAACACAAAGCTTTCTACATGTTTGGAAAAGAGCAGTTTAAAGAGATTCCAAAACATTCATCATCAGTGTCATCAGTGACCGCCATCAAATTGGCGATAGACATCAGTGTTAAGAAGTATCCAATTTGGGGCTTCATTATCTACAAGGCCTTTGCTGACTGGTGAAGTCAAAAAATGTAACCAGGCATCAAAACCCTCCTGAAGACGATGGTTGCTGGAAACTGATCTCGATTTACTGCAGCTGCGGAGGCCCACCACAGGAGACGGATTTGAGCCAAATATAGTAGCTCATCTAGAGCAGGTAGATGGTATGGAGGGTGTAGATAAGGCAGAGATCACTAGATTATCCAGCAGCCTATGTTGGCCTAGTTCCCAGCCCTGGGCCTGGAGTTCAACTGCCCAGCACAGATTTCTATTTTCACTGCTATGGCAAATGCAGTTCAAATCAGGATTGAAAATGAACTAATGAATTGAATCAGGTATTGCATATTGGAGAGAGAAAAGGCTTAAAGGCCCCATATTCTACATTTTCCGGCATTTTATTTATTTATTTTTTCCCTGGGGTCTACTAATAAAGTTTGTAAGGGTTTATGTACCCAAAAACAGTAATACTTTATTTTTACATGTTTCATTTTTACAATTTTCCAACATTTCTTTATTAAAAACAAGATATTTTTTACTGTGCCTTTAAGACATCCTAGCAATCTCTTGGAATCTCATAGCAACCACCTATCCACATCCTAGCAACCACCTGGGATACCTTAGCAACCACTTAGCCACACTTTAGAGACCACTTGAAATACCATTGCAAACACCTAGAAACACTCTAACAACCACCTGGGATACCTCATCAATCACTTAGTCACATCTTAGAAACCACTTGGAATACCATAGAAACCACCTAGCAACACCCTAGAAACCACCTGAATTAACAGATTAACATAACAATCATCTTGCAATCACCTAGGATACCATTGCATCCACCTGCCAACAACCCAGCAACACCAGCAAACCACTTAAACTGTGCAATTACTCTGCATTTTCTTCAGGCACTTTTTATTATGCAATTTTTAATTCAACTAGATATTTGTAAATGAGTTCTGTTCTGATTGGCTGTCCTGTATTGTGCCTCATTCAAAAAGCAGCCCAGGCAGAATAGGTAGATATGTGTAAATGCACTGATTTCCACGGCATCACAAACACAATGAATTCAATACAGGCTGTTTTTGCAGCTCAGTTTCCATTTATGGACTGTGCAGACTGGGTACACTGTACAGGAAATCACTGTATAATTACAACAAATTACTGGCTAATAGTTGCTTTCGTTTCATAGTAATTTACTGTTCCATAATAACAGTAAATAACAGTAAAATAACAGTTGTACACTGTGTAAAAGTAATGCAAGTCAGAATAAAACACTTGAAATGTTTTTAGTACAGCTCAATGCCAACCTCACAGTACTTTTCTGTTCTATTACAGAAAATATTTTAAGATGACTTGATTTCATAATGAAATGATGAATACAGTATTTCATTGTGTAAAAAAGATCTACAAACCCAATTCCATCAATGTTGGGACAGTATGTGAAATGCAGATAAAACCAGAAACAGCAGAAAACAGTAATTTATAAATCTTCTATGACTTGTATTTGATATTTGTAACAAAGGAGCAGTAGCAATTTAACATTCTTGTAAAATTTTCAAAAAACATCCGAAACAGATGATGCAATATAATGCAATATTGAGTAAAAAAGGAGCATCCAGGAAAGGCCTAGTCCTTTATGAGCAAGGCTGGGTCGAGACTCACGGAAAATACATTAGCAAAAAAATCCAGCAGTTTAAAAATATAACATTCCTCAGCGAGCAATTGCAAGGATTTTAGGTGTTTCATCATTTGCAGCACATAATAATATAAAATGATTCAGGGAATCCAGAAAATTCTCTGTATAAAGGGCAAGGCTGAAAATCACATCTAAATGCCTGTGACTTTCAATGCGTTAATTGGCACTGCTTTAAAAACAGGCATGTTTCTGTGACGGATTTCTCCACATGGGCTCATGAATACTTTGAAAAAGCATTGTAGATAAAAACTGTCCATTGCTACCTCCACAAATGCAAGTTTATACTGCTCTATACACACTGGAAGGCACATATCAACAACATCAAGAAACGCTGCTGACTTCTCTGGGCTTGAGCTCATCTACAATGGACCGAAACACAGGAGATGTGTATTGTGGTTTGACAAATTACATTTCCAGATTGTTTATGGATGTTGTGTTTTCTGAGCCAAAGAAAAAAAAGGACCATCCAGACTATTACCAGCACAAGTTCAAAAGTCAGGGTCTGTCATGGTATTAGTGGTTAATTTATAAATCTGTGAAGGCACCAGTAGCTCTGAACACAATTTGAGCAACATATTCTGCCTTCTAGATGCCGTCTTTTTCAGTGACGCCCAGGCTTATTTCAATATGAGAAACGTCCTGCAAGTTTTACAACAGTGTGGCTGCGTAATCATAGAATGTCGGTGCTAGACTGCCCTGCCTGCAGTCCCAGATCTGTCCCCTATTCAAAACGTGTGCAAAACACAACAACAAAGGCCCTATATGGTTGCACAGCCAAATAATTTCACTTTCAAAATCTATTGGTTTCTTTAGTCCCTACACTGCAAAAATTGGTGTCTTGTCAAGTAAAATGATCTAAAATCTAGGCATAAATATATTATTTCTTCTGCTGAGATTGTACAGGCTGTTTTTGCAGCTCAGTTTCCATTTATGGACTGTGCAGACTGGGTACACTGTACAGGAAATCACTGTATAATTACAACAAATTACTGGCTAATAGTTGCTTTCGTTTCATAGTAATTTACTGTTCCATAATAACAGTAAATAACAGTAAAATAACAGTTGTACACTGTGTAAAAGTAATGCAAGTCAGAATAAAACACTTGAAATGTTTTTAGTACAGCTCAATGCCAACCTCACAGTACTTTTCTGTTCTATTACAGAAAATATTTTAAGATGACTTGATTTCATAATGAAATGATGAATACAGTATTTCATTGTGTAAAAAAGATCTACAAACCCAATTCCATCAATGTTGGGACAGTATGTGAAATGCAGATAAAACCAGAAACAGCAGAAAACAGTGATTTATAAATCTTCTATGACTTGTATTTGATATTTGTAACAAAGGAGCAGTAGCAATTTAACATTCTTGTAAAATTTTCAAAAAACATCCGAAACAGATGATGCAATATAATGCAATATTGAGTAAAAAAGGAGCATCCAGGAAAGGCCTAGTCCTTTATGAGCAAGGCTGGGTCGAGACTCACGGAAAATACATTAGCAAAAAAATCCAGCAGTTTAAAAATATAACATTCTTCTGCTGAGATTGTAAGCTTACCTTAAGATTATTTAACTTATTTCTAGACATGTTTACTTGTTTTAAGCAATTTTATCAAGTAAAGTTATCTCACTATCTTAGCAGACAATTTTGCTTGTTTTAAGAAAATATGCTTGAAACCAGCTAAATTATCTGCCAGTATAGTGAGACAACTTTACTTAATAAAATGACCTAAAACAAGTAAAACAATTCTAGAAATAAGCCAGACAATCTTATAATCAGTGCATAACCATCTCAAACCGGGAAATATTGACAAGCTTTGAGAAAATTTCACTTGACAAGAGACCATTGTTTGCACTGTAAATGTTAATTAGGTGTTGTTAAAAGGAAACGTGATGTATCACAGTGGTGTCCCAACAGGAGCGTGCTGCAGGCATCACATTTGGAATGAGCTTATATTTACAAAAACATTAAAGTTCATAAGGTAAAACATATAATATTGTGTTTTTTGTACTATTTTCAATTTAATACAGGTCAAACATTTATGAACCACTTCTTTCTGTTTTTATTAGCATTGTTTTTATTATTATTGTTCTAACTTTTTTGGATTTGGGTATGTAGCTAAATAGTGTGAAATCTGGGGAATAATTTATATTGTATAATAATATTTATATTGAATACTTTATAGTGTATATTTAACAATATTTTCACAGGACATCAAAATATTTTTTAAATGGCTGTGCACAATATGGGCTCATAAAATATTCCAGGACCAGAATCAAGAAATACTCACCTAAATATTCCTCTCTACACTTTTAGAAAACAGATTTATCAATGCTCTGCTCACAAATGATAAACTGTAGCCATGGATCAGTTTTTGCTGTGATATCTACATTTAGAGTGTTATTAATTTGGATATGTGTTTTGTATGCATGCAGGTTAGGACACATCAGGCGTGGTTTTCGGTGACATGACTGGGTGTAGAATGTTTGCTCACACCAACACACAACACAGGACCATGCAAAAGTCAGATGCCATCATTCATTAGTCACAATGGCCATTAAGTACAATTATTCATTATTTTAGTGGCAGGAAAAATAAACAAATAAATATGTTTTCTTTAACATACACCAACATGAATTCCATGCTGGTCTAAACTGGTTTACGCTGGTCTGAAGCTAGTTTGGCATCCATATCAGCATCCATATCACAACATATGTTGGTTTTGCTTGTGACCAACCACGCTGGCCTATGCTGGTTTTTCCAGCAGTGTGTTCACTCCTTGCCTTTATTACAGCTTTAATTCTTTTTCATGAGACTTGCTTTCAGTTTTTCAGGGAAATCTGTGGGATATTTCTCCAAAGTTCAGTCTTAGAAGTTGGCTGTATTCTAAGTAATAACAAATACATTTTGACTAAGTCTACAAACCTTTCTTCAGATCTCACATGTCCAGTTTTGGTGCTCTAATGCAAATTTTGGTCTATTTTTTCTTTTTCTTAGTAAAGTTTTTTTGTCAGCTACACATCCATTCTGAGTTGTCTTCTCACAATGGAAGGATGGACAGAAACAGCTATAGATTTTTCAGATCTGAAGCAAGTGTGGAGGCCTGATTTTCTCCTATCTCAAATATAAAAATACTCTTTATCTCATGGTGACTACCAGGGTTCTACCAGGCATTCCTTTTTTCTGTATTTTGCAGTCATTTTTTGAACTTCAGTTTTGAAACCTCCACTTTTTTCATTAATTTTTCTTTGACTTTCTCTTTCTATGTGCAAGTGCATTATCGCGTATCCAATCTCATCCGAAATATCTCCTGAAAAATAATAAAACCTGAAAAAACTTGGCATTTTGACTTGAAATCAGATAAATGAAGAGTGGTTTCGCACTGAACTTCACCTTTCCTGGCACATGTTAAGTATATGGTCTATGGACCATGGGGCCAACTCACTTTTGTCATTGCCTGCTCCGTCCTCTCGGGGGCACTGCGGTATGCCTGTGTGACATCATTGAGCGGGACAGGCATGTACTGCAGAGTGAAGTTACTGAAAAAGAGAGAGAGAAACAAAGAGAGAGCGAGGTAAGTGCACAGTATAGCAAACTTCCCTGTTAACCCAGAACTCATCTACAGTGCAGTAGCAACACTCCCACCACTCTCACTCACAAAACAACACAAGAAAAAGTGTTAAAAGAAAAGCTTGGATATTCCGCAGTCTGCTTTAAAGCTTCCGCCACTTTTCAGTGCTTACTTCTGATACCTTTGTGAGATACAGTGAATAAACAGTGCTAATGTGATTCCAAGGTCAAGCTGAAGTTGCTGCTTGTAGAATTTTCTATGGAACAGCAGAATGTCGGAGTCCTAGGTGACTGAGTCACCGCCGACCGAGCGTATCATAAACAGGTCAGGAACAGGTGATGAAATGCAGTGTAATCTTTTCTCTCTCTCTCTCGTACTCTATACTATTTATTTAAGTCAGGCCTTCTGTAACCGCACACTATTAAAAAGTAATAGCGTGGGATGAGTGTCGGCGCAGGCGAATACCGATCTGAATGTGTCTGACAGTCTACATGTGTTATGCAAGTCTATTTAAGATTACATATTATACAGTATGACGATGTTTGAGGCAAGGGCGTGATGATTTAGGTGTGTAGTCTGCGCAGTGCTATTAGGTAGAGTATAAGCAGGTAAAAACTTCATGCATTCACTTTAGCAGGAACACACTTTCCTGAGTTCTAATTAAAGAAACACTCTGACCAAAATAAAAAAGGTAGTCTCTAAAGTAAGATTTTAAAGTTCAGAAACGATTCTGAAGCTACTGAAGCTTCTGAAGCTTCAGTAGATTCTGTGAGGGTACCAGCAGGTACTATTTGGGTGGTGGATCATTCCCAGCACTGCAGTAACACTGACGTGGTGGTGGTGTGTTAGTGTGTGTTGCGCTGGTCTGAGTGGATCAGACACAGCAGTGCTGCTGGAGTTTTTAAAACACCTCAGTGTCACTGCTGAACTGAGAATAGTCCACCAACCAAAAATATCCAGCCAACAGCGTCCTGGAACCAAAGATGAAGGACTAGAGGATGACCAACACGAACTGTGCAGCAGCAGATGAGCTATCGTCTCTGACTTTACATCTACAAGGTGGACTCACAAGGTAGGAGTGTCTAATAGAGTGGACAGTGAGTGGACACAGTGTTTAAAAACTCCAGCAGCACTGCTGTGTCTGATCCACTCGTACTAGCACAACACACACTAACACACCAGTGTTACTGCTGTGTTGAGAATGATCCACCACCCAAATAGTACCTGCTCTGTGAGGTTCCATGGTGGTCCTGACCACTGAAGAACAGAGTAAAAGGGGGCTAACAAAGTATGCAGAGAAACAGATGGACTACAGTCTGTAATTGTAGAACTACAAAGTGCACCTATATAGTAAGTGGAGCTGATAAGGAGGTGGTCATAATGTTATGCATGATCAGTGTATTTATATATAATAGAATACTGAATAGTATTAATGCAGATTAAGACACTTGGTTCCATAGGTTTAAAACAGGAAATATTGCATAAGGAAAAGAATACAAACGCAGCATGTGTGTGTATGTGTGTGTGTGTGGGTGTGTGTGTGTGTGTGTGCACATGCATGTGAGCATGTGTTTGTGTTTCTTACTGCTCCAAGGAACGTGCGACGTCTTGAAACCCTGAAGCTGTGGTATTGTTCCGATCCCATGTCACACTCCTTAAAGCGAGAGAAAGAAGAAATGAAACGACGAGTATTAAAACTACATAACTAACGAAGTATATCAACATATCAGTAGCTCAGAGCTACATTAAAAGAATATTAGATATATAAGAGCTGTCAGAAATGCCTCTGAAAATGTGATGATCATGCTTCCTCTCTCAGCATGCATGTAGACTTTCTTTGAATCTTTCAATATTTTCATAAAATTTTCAATATAGTTAAAACGCATCATTTAACAAAATCTTCCATACTTGTCAAGAATTATGCATCTATTTATCATAAATGCTAATGGAGAAAAGGAGATATGCAAGCTTAGGTCTGCTTAGTGCCACAGACGATACTGTACTCTTTGTCAAAAGAAAAAAAGCTTAGACGTGCATAAGTCCTGTGGTTTTAGCTGTTCTGGTGCTGATTAAGCTGGTTGACCAGCATACCAGCATTTGAAACACAATATATGCTGGTTTTGCTGGTGATCAGTATACCTGTGTCCATTGTGACTGACCAGCATACCAGCACCAAAACACAACATATGCTGATTTTGCTGTTGACCAGCCATGGTCTTTCTAGCACGGTAGTCTTATGTCTTAAGCCACAGTCACATTTGACTTCTGTAGTTTGCATCGCTTCGCAACATGGAAGTGTTGGTGCAGAGCTGCCGTCGCAGTTACCAAGGATTCATATTCTTTACAAATTTATACTACAAATACTTCAGAAAACACCGCTGCATCTACAAATTCAAAGCGGATGCCATTTATTAACATCTTGAAATGCTGCCGACTTCTCTGGGCTAAAGCTCTTCTAAAATGAACTGACACTGTTCAGATTGGTTTTGGAAAGAATGGATGTCGTGTTTTCCAGGCCAAAGATGAAGAGGACCATCCCGATTGTCACCAGCACATATTGCACAACTGTGAAACCACTATTAATGCTGAGGGGTACATGCGCAATTTGGAGCAACATATACTGCCATCTTGAAGACGTCCTTTTCAGGGACATCCCTTCCTGTTTCATCAGGACAATGCCAAGCCTCATTCTGCATATGTCACAACAGCGTGGCTTTGTAGTAAGACTATTGAGCAGATGAAGTGTTCTTTCAAGCCAGAAGGGGAAAAAATTCAATTTCACAATTACAACAATTGGTGTCCCCAACTTTTTTGGAACATGTTGTAGGCATTAAATTTAGAATAAGCAAAGAATAAGCAAAAACAACAAAGTTTTAAATATCTTGTCTTTGTAATGTTTTCAATTGAATGCAGGTCAAAAACGATTTGTAAATCATTGCTAATGTTTTTTTTTTTGATGCACTGGTGGTTGCTGGTGGTCAGTACATCAGTGGGAAGGTCTTTCAGTACTGTAGGTTAGAGACCACCCTTCATTTATTTAATCTCTGTTTGAAACAGCAATTAAGTACTTAATACATGTATATGAAGGTCAGTGCATCTGCCTCACATACTGCCCATCAAAAGCTTGAATTGCCATATTTTGAAATTAGAAATGAGTCCTTGTCTGTTACATATTTAAATGCAGGGGAATTTCACAGGTATGTCAAAATGTGTGTATATTTCAATTGATAAAACCAAAAAAAGGAATTCAGTGTGGTATGATGTGTGTTCATTTAGCTGTGTGACAATGTGTTCTGTACCTGAGAGTGGTGTTGATCTGCAAGGCTTTGCTCAGCATCCTGGCTCCTGTGTCCTCCAGGCCATTTCCGCTCAGGTCAACCTTCCTCAGGCATGCGTTACTGCCCAGTGCGTTGACCAGCACTGTACCCCGCGAACGCAGCCTGGAATCAGCCAGGGACAGGCTCTGCAGACCCTGTTACACACCAGGGGAAAAACAGAGGTGAGATGGAGCATAGGGTGCATAGAGGTTGACTCTGATCTCTGTCTTAATGTATATACTAGGTGTATACAAATGATGCTTTATAATGGATCAGCCTGAAAGTGGTGATTCAACATTCCACTGATTTTAGAATGTCATAATCCATTTTAATTCAATAAAGTACATGAACATTTTTGGTCAAAGTAATATTCTCTGGCGTGCCTCATTCAAAAGGCACTTCAGACTGAAACACTCCTTCTAACTTCAGCGTGAATAGGTGGGGCTAAACTGCTGTAGGCGGAACAGGTGGAGTTCCTTGAGTGCGCTGGTTTTTGTGACATCATGAAAAAAGGCTGTTCATGCAGCTTATTTTTCAATATATGGACTGTGGTTTGAATAGTAGGTCTTGAAACTTTAACAATGTTCACAAACTACAACAAACCCTTAAATGGCCCGGGGGCCCAAGTTTTATTACACACTTCTATAACCTAAGAATAGCTCAGCCAGTTTGCATTGAAGTCCCTGTAGTTACTGAGTAATAAGCCTTAGTATGTTGAGGGGTTAAACATGTTCATTTATTCAGCTCTGTTTTTTAAAATACAAACTCTGCTTGTTACCCACACCTCTAACAAACGAGGGTGATGATTTTTGATTGGTTTCCATCAACAAGTGGTCCAGGTTTCAACCAATCTAATAACGCTGTGGGTGGGAAATTGAAACGGGCTGCTGAAGTTTTGATTGGTTGAACATGACCTCATCTCAGACTTATTTCAACGAATCCATATGGCTGTGTTTGGGACATTGAGACAGGCTACGGACGTACTGATTGGCTGTTTTGGCAACCCATCCCCGTTTTGAGCAATCCAATAACACTGTAGGCATGTCAGAGTAATTTCGACCAGGGCGTAATTTGCGAAGGAATGCCATCCCCTGGGTCAAAAAAAATCACCCTCTTGATAAACGGCCACCGCCCCTTTCTATCCCCTTTAATCAAGGTTGCCAAGTTTGTGGTTTTCCCGCCATTAAGGTTAGTTCCAAAATGTAATCACAGGGGAAAATAATAAAGTTTCAATTTCTGTTGGGCAGCTTTTAAGCAAACTTTGGACTGGAGGTTTTTGTTCAACCTGGCAATCTTGTCCATTGTGAGGGACGCTTAAATAAGATGTGTGGACTCTTTAAAAAGAAAAGCAGGTAACCAGTGAGAGATGTTTGAAGTTAATAAAACTGAAAACTGGAGTTTGTAATCTTCAGGGATTATCCTTAACATTTAATTAAAAAAAGGGTAAAATTATTACAAAAGGCTGCACCTCCAGAATGAGCTTCTAATGTGCTTCTAATGCCACGGTGATCGTGTTAACATGTTACCATATAATGTTATTGGTAATCACTGGAGAGTTTAGTTACAGGGAATAAAATGCTGATTAAAAACTAATAAAATAGTTTTTAAATAGTTTAATAGTTTTAATAGTTACTAAAATAGTGAGCAGCACTGAGTAACTTGTGTCTTTCAGTTTATAAAGATAAGCCTGATGTTTAATTCTGATTAAATATTTGAAAAGGCCAACCCCCCCTCAACCCCACCATGCCCACTGAGTTTTTTTCCAGTCCAACGACTAATTCTGACCAATCCAATAACGCTATTGGTGGGCAGTTTTGGTGTTTTGATTGGTTGGGCTTGACATGTCATACTTGTTTTAACCATTGCAGTAAAGCTGTGGGCGGGACTGAGCCAAAAATGTGGATCTTTTAGTGTTAGAGTTGACTTAACTCACATTTAAGCTTTTTATTGACAAGTAAATAAGTTAAAGCATCGATTCTGATGATCAGCAAACTAAATAACATAATACCAGATCTGATTACTGCGCAGGCTGATAATCGGTCGACCCTTAGAGCATGTATAAAGGAGAGTGAATGGCACATGACTGTGCGGGTGTGACTTCATGAATGATGCAGAGAGTGTGATCAGTATAAACAGCTGTAAATAATTGAGCGAGCTCATAGTGCTATCTGCAGTCAGTGAGCTTCACACCCTGGAGCGGAGAAAAGAAAAAGGACGAGGTGTTGGGAAAGAGCGAGATACAGACAGAGACAGAGAGAGAGGGATGAATCATTCAGCTGTGCTGTAATGCACGCGGCAGGTCTTTAGAGTGCATGCCTGTGTAGGAAGGGAAAGGATAGATAGTTCATGTTTGTATCCGTTAGCGTGGTGGGAAAAATGTGCGCCAGAGCACTCACACACTCCTCTTCTTGCACGAGCTGCACCAGCTTCTGTAGGATCTCGTCCAGTGCCCTGCAGAGAATAAGAGAGAGAGGCAGAGATGTAAGAGGACAGGGAGAAATAAATAGAAAGAGACAGGCAAATTGAGGGAGAGAGGACGAGGGAATATTTAGCTAGTGGTGGGTGATTCGGCAAGCCTAAGAATGGGGTGATATGGTCTTGTTTCTTAGTTCTGGTGAGCAGTTTAGTAGATGAGTTTTGTATTAACTGAAGATGAGCCAAGAGAGACTTGTCGATACCAGAACGCGTAGAATTGCAGTAGTTTAGATAAAGCATGAATGACTTTTTCCAAGTTCTGAAAAGACAGAGTTGGTAAAAGCTACTCTTAACAACATTTGCTGATCGGGATCAAAAATTACACCAAGATTCTTCTCACATTGCGACAGTAGTCTTAGGTTTTCCAATAGACTACTAGTGGATTTAAGAAGAATAAATTTGTTGACCGCTCAGGTTTTAATACCCTCAAGGCACTCATTGAGACACTTCAGAAATACTATACCTTACTATACTATAATACAATGCCAAAAGTATATGGGCAGCACCTAGCCATGCAATCCCCAAGGACAAACCCTGGTAATAGAATGAATCATACTGAAGAGCTCATTGACTTTAAACATTGTAGTGGAATGCCACAAGTTGTCACAAGTTGAACTTGAAATTCCTTCCCTGCTAGATCTGCCCCAGACAACTGTAAGTGCTATTGTATAATGGAAGCATCTAGGAGCAACAACAGCTCAGCTTCGAAGCTGTTGAACAGAGCGGTGCTGCCAAGAGCTAAAGCACATGGCTTGTAAAAAATCGTCTATCCTGGTTACATCACTCTCTGTAGAGTTCCAAAATGCCTCTGGAAGCAACATCAGCACAAGAACTGTGCATCAAGAGCTTCATGAAATGGGCCTCCATGGCTGACACAAGCCTGAAACCACTGCTCAATGTCAAGCATTGGCTGGAGTGATGTAAAACATGCCACCATTGGACTCTAAAGCGGTGGAAACATGTTCTCTGGAGTGATCAATCACGCTTCTCTATCTGGCAAAAAGAGAGAAGAGGCCCCAATACAGAACCTTGAGGAACCCCACAGCCAATGGTGGCAACTAATGAAAAGAAACTGATAACATTAACTAAACTTCCTGTTCCAGAGATAAGACTTGAACCAGTCCAGTACTGCCCCCTGCATGTCAACCATGTGCTTAAAGCATTCAACAAGAACATTGTGATCAATGGTATCAAAGGTGGCACTAAGTTCTAAAAAAACTAAACTTTTAACAGGGAAGAATCTACAAGAGAAGATGGTGCTTCAAGGGTTCTTTAATGAAGAAAATGGTTCTATATAGAACCCTTTGCATGATTAAAGGTTTTTTTGCATCATGAAAGGGTTCTTTGGATTGATGGAACATGTGCATGAATATGCTGTAGATGGAACTACAAAACCTTTTTGAAAAGGGTTCTATATAGCACCCAAAAGGGTTCTTTTATTGTTACAAGCTTGACACTGTAACAACAGAAAAATCCCTGAGTGCTATATAGAACCATTTTCAAAAAAGTTCTATGGAGAACCATCTACAGCACATTCTCCACCAGTCTGAGGAATGTTTAGAAAAGCATTTTGTGATATAATTTATCACAGTAATGATGAATATCATGACATTGGCCATCCCTGTGACCAGGAATATGAACTAACATGGTCAAAAGGTTTTAACTGGTGTCTAGCGAAGGCATTTTTAAATGCAGGTTGACTTTAAGTTCACAGTTTCTTTTCAAAACAATGTGCTGAACTACAGAACCAACAAGCATTGTGCCACTGTCCAAATACTTATGGCCAGTACTCTATAAAACATGAAGCCTCATACAGTGTCAACCTTTCACCCACTTGACGTCTCTCAACAGTTTTGAGTGGAGTAAAGAAGAACAGTAGAACACTGATTGCTGAGCTGAAGGGTGAAGGGAGCTGAATAAAACAGTGCGGATTGAACCGGAAAGTCTAAAGAGCTTCTGGGGGAGACCGTTTTAGATCTTTTCATCCAGCCTCTAGCTGTCTCATGCTCTTTGTGTCAGCAGATCCTCAGTGTAGCATCAAGACACAAAAGACTTTCCTAGAAGTATATTATGGTTTAAAAGTTAAAAAGAAATAATAGTTCAGAAGTTTGGAATCTCAGTTCAAAAGTTTGAAATAACAGTTTAGAAGTTTGGAATCACAGATCAGAGGTTTGAAATACCAATTCAGAAGTTTGGAATCTCAGTTCAGATGTTTGGAATCTCAGTTTGGAAGTTTGAAATACCAGTTCAGAAGTTTGAAACACTAGATCTGAAGTTTGGAATCTCAGTTGAGAAGTTCTGAGTCACGGTTCAGAAGTTTGAAATATAGGTTGAACGTTTGGAGTCCCACTTCAGAAGTTCAAAAATACTAGTTCAGAAGTTTGGAATGCCATTTCAGAAGTTTGAAACACTAGATCTGAAGTTTGGAATCTCAGTTCAGAAGTTCTGAGTCACAGTTCAGAAGTTTGAAATATAG